CACAGAGAGGGCCTCACCTGTCACTCCCATTCTTTCTTATGCTTTAATTGACACCGAGAGGCCAACACCACGCCACAACATTCGGTGGCCTCATTTTCCCAGGCCGCATGGCAACTATCAGGGACTCATCTGTCATTCTCACAAAGCATAATGTTTCACCGCTTGGTATTTAGCTAGCCCCACCAGTACCCACCCAATTCATTACAGGATGATTGATTAAGCCACTTTTATATTTTTCAGTTATGTCACAAACTCCTGATATCCCTGAGGAACTTTCACTACCTAGCACACCCACTAGGCCTGGTACCCCTGTTCCTGGTACAAATGTGAATAGCCTTTTTCCCTAAGATCATGGACCATCCCATGTCTCACAGCAGAACTCATAAGACGCTGCATCTCTTTCCCAGCTACTGCTAGGAAGGCGGAATTGTTTAGGTTACTGAACACTACCACCGACATCTCCGAGGCAGGGGAAGGCACTAGTGGGACTCAATTACCAGCTTTCCATGCCATGATGACTTCTCTAATGGCATCTATTGGCACAATTAGTGACAGACTGGATAAATTGGAGGCTGGTGGTGCTAATCAGTCCACTGCCAATACTACGGTTACCAGTCATCCTCTCACTAATACTATGCCCGGTAATTCCTTTGAATCTATTGCGGTTATAGAATCAATTAATCCCTCGCATATGGTCCCATCTCACCTAAAAAAGGGCATTCTGGAAGGCAAGGACGTTAACCTGGTCTCATTGATCATTGTCTCCCAGGATGTCCTAGAGAACAGGATCTTTGCATACGTGGATATTTCAGTAGTACTAAGGGCTAGAGACCCCCGGCTGAATAAGAAACTGTCCACCCCTGAATTCATGCTGGGGTTTGGGATTTATAGAGATGTCTACTGCTCAGTTTACAAGATGGTGGATCTGGGGCACAAATACGGTGGTACCGCTTTTTATGACTGCAGAGTGCAAAGGTGGCTGCGGCTCTGGCTCAGTTCAATTTAAGCATAAATTGGAACACATTGGACACTGAGCGTTTCTGCGGGCACTTTGCAGGCCTCAGGCCCCCAGCTTGTGCAGTATGTGCATCAGCAACGCATAGCACCAATTTCTGCCCGAATTCGGCAGAAATTGAACAAAACCAAGCGGCTTCTAACTTCCAAAGACCTGCTAGAGGATTAAAAGACAAACTGGGCAAGGATATTGAATTTTTAGGCAAATCCCAAGTTTGCAATAATTTTAACGCGTGTGATTGTGGTTTCAGCTCTTGCAGGTTAATGCATGTATGTTCACACTGTTTCAGTGCCCATTCCAAGACAATGTGCCCAAATAAAGCATTTCCTAAACCATATCTCATGTGCGTGAACCTCACATTATTTACCACTTTGTTACAACTACACCCATCACGCCATTTCAGTAACTACCTTATAAAGGGACTGACTGAGGGATTTCACACTGGGTTGATACATTTACCTACAGGCACGCTGGAATGTGACAACCTACAATCCACATTAGATGACCCACAGTTGGTACATAAACTTATCATGACCGAGGTGAACGAAGGGTTTTTGTTGGGCCCATTCTTTTCACCACACTTCACATCTTGGAGAACCAACCCCATTGGGGTTGTCACAGGGAAGAATTCACTCAAACCTAGACTGATCATTGATTTATCTGCGCCACATTCCTCCACGGTCCCCAGCCTAAACTTACTCATACCTTCCGAAGAATTTTCACTACATTACGCCACTATCGACCATGCCATTGGTGCCATCATTAAAGCAGGCACAGGGCATGGTTAAGCAAAACGGATATAGTGAATCCCTTCAAGTTACTTCCCATGCACCCTTCCCTTTGGCACCTTCACGGCATTAAATGGCAAGGGTATATTATTTCTTCACCCGTCTCACTTTTGGCTCCAAAAGTAGCCCACATATTTTTGACACATTTGCAGAGGCTTTGTGTTGGTTATTACTTAATGTGTGTAAATGTCCTTCGCTTATTCACTATCTGGATGATTTCCTCACAATTGAGAACAACACACTCCCCCCAAGTAGTTTGAGACACATGTTGGCTTTGTTTGAATCCCTCACTATCCCAGTCTCCCCACACAAGACGTTGGGTCCAGACACCAACATGCAATTTTTGGGGATCCAACTAGACATGGTACACATGCAGGCTAGCCTCCCTCAGGACAGAATTGAGTGTACCCGGGCAAGTATCGAACACTACCTACTACAAGGGTGTTGCACCCGGAAAGAACTTCAATCACTGCTGGGGTCGTTCAATTTTGCCATGAGGATCATTCCACAAGGTAGATCTTTCATTTCACATCTACTATCCCTATCTCCACAATTCACCTCAGACACTTAACGTATCACGTTAGACGACCACGCAACCTCTGATTTACGTATGTGTTTTTTTTTCCTCACCTCTTGGAACAGGTGAGCCATGTTTATACCACCCCCCTCTGACGCTTCACCTACACTGTGGACAGATGCCACAGCAAACATAGGTTTTGCAGTAATCTGGGGAGATCAATGGCTTTGGGGACCATGGCTGACCGAAGTCAAATCACTGCCCAAATTCACCGAGACCTCAGCTTTATTTGAGCTGTACCCAATCGTAGCGGTGGCCATTGCCTGGGGACCACATTGGTCCGATCACACGGTTAGGTGCTACTCGGATAATATGGCTACATGCCATATTGTCAATAAAGGCTGGTCAGCATCCCTGGTAATTATGAGACTCCTAAGATGACTCACATGGGTAGCGGCCACCTGTCAATTCTATATCACATGTATTCACATTCCGGGGTGCACAAACACTGGTGCTGATCACTTGTCTCGATATCGTTTTCAGGATTTCTTCACGACACTACCCTCCGCTTCCAGACTGGCAACTCCTGCCCCACTTTTCCAAGACATGATAATGGATTAGAGGCTTTGTTAGATCACGCACATCACATTTCTCACCTCGCACTTTCAGTAAACACTAGGAACAAATACGACAGGGCTTTTCACGTATTCAAGAAATTCATCACTGAATTCCACATCCACGACATGTTCATGTTAGAATCAATATTGTGTGTCACTTCTTTTTGCCACATCAACCATAAATTATCATTCAACACTATAAAACTGTACCTTATGAGCATTCAGCACCACATGCTTATCCAACAACCCAACGCTACAGGTTTCCTGACCCCATATCAAATTAAGACAGTAATAAAAGGCATTAAAAAATTGGACGCACAGGTCCCCTCACAAAGATTACCCATAGACAACAACATATTCCATTCACTAATCAATTTATTAGATTCTTCTCCTTTCAAACCCATAACTAATACTGTAATAAAGATAGCTATATATTTAGCTTTTTATGGGTTCCTCCGTCCCAGCAAATTCACAACTAGGACAATTACAACCACCGACTACCTAAGAACTATGGACATACAAAAACATAACGACCATTACTTACTATTCTTCAAACAATCAAAAACCAGCACCATAGATCATACTATTGAAATCCCCTTGTATCCTACTCATAGTAATTGTTGCCCAGTACAAGTTTTTGACTTTTATTTCCTTTCACTCCACAAACAACCTCTACAACCTTTGCTCGAACTGCATGGAAACATTCTGACTACAACAAAATTTATGCTTTATGTATGACTACTGTTGACTAGGCTCGGCCTAAACCCCAATCATTTCTCAGGTCACTCTTTCCGAATTGGGGCAGCATCTACAGCAGGGCCAGATTAAGAGCCCAGTGGGCCTGGTGCTGACAATTATGACGGGCCTAATTACAGAATCATATCGACCAAAAACAGTAAAACACTCCCAAGCATCATGTATCTGATGGAGATGGAGATGGTGCTGGAGAGAAAGAAAACAGCAGCTATAAGAAAACACATACCCTAGGCTAATCTCTCTCTAATTTATGTTTTCAGCTTTCAAGTAAATCCATAACCCCTAACAGCAACGTCCAATCAAGCAGGAAGTCAATGGGCACGATAAAAGGGTTTGCCACTGACACAAATCACGTAACCTGCCAAAACGGGCAAACATGCCCAAAAAGAGGACATTTCTGCTCAAAGAATTAGAAGGCCAGCCTGACATGAATGCATGTCAGGCTGCCTGCCAATCATGCAGCTGGCCAACTAAGGGCATACTATGCAGACAGCACCCTGAGCTTGGCATAAATGCATCTAATGATGCACTCGCTCAACGCTTTCTAAGGACTGTCCCCTAGCACTCGCTGGTCCACTTGTCTCCTTACCTTCTTACTAGCAGGCAGAAGCTCCTGGTATATGGTCTGGGACAGAGAAAAGCTGTATGCAGTGAGTGTAGAAGAAAGGGAACATGCCACAGTGTTGGAGAGACCAAAGTCAGCATTACCTTAAAGGATCACTATAGGGTCAAGAACACAAACATGAATTCATGACCCTATAGTGTTAACACCACCATCTAGCCCCCCTGGGCCCCTCATGCCTCCATAAATATAGCAAAATCTTACTATATTCAAGCCTGAAGCTGTAACTCTGCATGCTGTTATACTCATAAAAACAAGCAGTCAGCTGACATCATTAGAAGTGGTGGCCTGATCCAATCACAGTGCTTCCTCATAGGATTGGCTGAGACTGACAAAGAGGCAGATCAGGGTCAGAGCCAGCATGATTCAAACACAGCCCTGGCCAATCAGCATCTCCTTATTTAGATGAATTTAATGAATCTCTATGAGGAAAGTTCAGTGTCTGCATGCAGAGGGAGGAGACACTGAATGTTTGGATGCATTTTAGGCAGCCATGACCCAGGAAGGATCTCTAACAGTCATCTAAGGAGTGGCCAGTGAAGTTATCACTAGGATGTAATGTAAAGACTGCATTTTCTCTGAAAAGACAGTGTTTACAGCAAAAACCCTGACGGTAATGATTCTATGATTCTACTCACCAGAACAAATTCAATAAGCTGTAGTTGTTCTGGTGACTATAGTGTCCCTTTAACTATATTCATTGTCAGCCAGTCCACACAAGTTTTGTTCCCATACATCCCTCTTCAGTTTCCATACTTAAGTAAGAGTATGTGAAAAGTAGTTAGGGTTGCCACCTTTCTTGGAAAAACATACCGGCCTTGCTAATTTGCATAATTAAATATGTATGGGTGACATCATATGATGTAAATCACAAGGAGTGGCATAAGAGAAAAACGCTGTAAAATCACCAAAAAACTACTTAGTTTGATTCTGCTGTATAGATGGATTCCTCCCAGTGCCCCATGTCTCCCAGTGCCCTCATGACTCAGTGCCCCCATGTGTCGATTACTCCAGGCCTCAGTGTTCCTATGTATCAGTGTCTCAGTGCCCCATGTCTCCCAGTGTCCCCTAGTGTCGTGTCCCCAGGTCTCCCAGTGATCCTATGTATCAGTGTCTCAATGCCCCATGTCTCCCTGTGTCCCCATGTATCCCAGGGTCCCCATGTCACTAGGAAGACGGGGAGACCTGGGGACACGGGGAGACCTAGGGACACGGAGACACCAGTGACACTGGGAGACTAGGGGACTCTGGCTGGGACACATGGGGACAATGGGAGAATAGAGGACACTTGAAGACATGGGGACACAGACACCAGGGACACAGACACTAGAGACACTGGCTTGGGGACATGAGGACATTGAGACATGGGGGCACTGGGAGACATGGGGACACTGAGACACCAGGGGCACTGTGTCCCCATGCGTCTGTCATAATATGTCCCAATGTCCCTTAGTGTCTCAGTGTCTGCCATAATGTCTCCCAGTGCCCCTTAGTGTCTCAGTGTCTGCCATAATGTCTCCCAGTGCCCCTTAGTGTCTCAGTGCCTGCCATAATGTCTCCCAATGTCCCTTAGTGTCTCAGTGTCTGCCATAATGTCTCCCAATGTCCCTTAGTGTCTCAGTGTCTGCCATAATGTCTCCCAATGTCCCTTAGTGTCTCAGTGTCCTGCCATAATGTCTCCCAGTGTCCCTTAGTGTCTCAGTGTCTGCTATAATGTCTCCCAATGTCCCTTAGTGTCTCAGCGTCTGTCATAATGTCTCCCAGTGCCCCTTAGTGTCTCAGTGTCTGCCATAATGTCTCCCAATGTCCCTTAGTGTCTCAGTGTCTGCCATAATGTCTCCCAGTGCCCCTTAGTGTCTCAGTGTCTGCCATAATGTCTCCCAATGTCCCTTAGTGTGTCTCTTGCGTCCGCTATAATGTCTCCCAATGTCCCTTAGTGTCTCGTGTGTCTGCCATAATGTTCCCAGTAGTGCCCCTTAGTAAGTCTCAGTGTTCGCTATAATGTCTCCCCCAATGTCCCTTAGTGTCTCAGTGTCTGCCATAATGTCTCCCAATGTCCCTTAGTGTTCAGTGTCTGCCATAATGTCTCCCAATGTCCCTTAGTGTCTCAGTGTCTGCCATCATGTCTCCCAATGTCCCTTAGTGTCTCAGTGTCTGCCATAATGTCTCCCAGTGCCCCTTAGTGTCTCAGTGTCTGCCATGATGTCTCCCAGTGTCCCTTAGCGTCTGTGTCTGCCATAATGTCTCCTAATGTCCCTTAGTGTCTCAGTGTCTGCCATAATGTCTCCCAATGTCCCTTAGTGTCTCAGTGTCTGCCATAATGTCTCCCAATGTCCCTTAGTGTCTCAGTGTCTGCCATAATGTCTCCCAGTGTCCCTTAGTGTCTCAGTGTCTGCCATAATGTCTCCCAGTGTCCCTTATTGTCTGTGTCTGCCATAATGTCTCCCAGTGTCCCTTAGTGTCTCAGTGTCCCCATGTCTCCCAATGTCCCTTAGTGTCTCAGTGTTTGCCATAATGTCTCACAATGTCCCTTAGTGTCTCAGTGTCTGCCATAATGTCTCCCAGTGTCCCTTAGTGTCTCAGTATCTGCCATAATGTCTCCCAGTGTCCCTTAGTGTCTCAGTGTCTGCCATAATGTCTCCCAGTGTCCCTTAGTGTCTCAGTGTCTGCCATAATGTCTCCCAATGCCCCTTAGTGTCTCAGTGTCTGCTATAATGTCTCCCAATGTCCCTTAGTGTCTCAGTGTCTGCCATAATGTCTCCCAATGTCCCTTAGTGTCTCAGTGTCTGTCACCTCTAGTGTCCCTTAGTGTCTCCGTCTGCCATAACTCCCAGTGTCCCTCAGGTCTCCTCAAGTGTCTGCCATAATGTCTCCCAGGCTCCTTAATGTCTCAGTGTCTGCCATAATGTCTCCCAATGTCCCTTATGTCTCATTGTCTGCCATAATGCTCCTAACGTCCCTAGTGTCTCAGTGTCTGCCATAATGTTCCCAATGTCCCCTTAGTGTCCTCTAAAGTGTCTGCACATCTCCCAGTGTCCCTTAGTGTCTCAGTGTCTGCCATAATGTCTCCCAGTGTCCCTTAGTGTCTCAGTGTCTGCCATAATGTCTCCTAATGTCCCTTAGTGTCTCAGTGTCTGCCATAATGTTTCCCAGTGTCCCTTAGTGTCTGCCATAATGTCTCCCAATGTCCCTTAGTGTCTCAGTGTCTGCCATAATGTCTCCCAATGTCCCTTAGTGTCTCAGTGTCTGCCATAATGTCTCCCAATGTCCTTTAGTGTCTCAGTGTCTGCCATAATGTCTCCCAATGTCCCTTAGTGTCTCAGTGTCTGCCATAATGTCTCCCAATGTCCCTTAGTGTCTCAGTGTCTGCCATAATGTCTCCCAATGTCCCTTAGTGTCTCAGTGTCCCCATGTCTCCTTGCAGCCTTTCCCCCATCCCTTACTGCCCTGAGCTGTAGGTTGTCTCTGCAGGGTGGGAGTTGCTGTCTGGACTCTCTGTAGCTGCACCCCTGCAGATCAGTGAGTATAGATAGACAGGGAGGGATATGCTGGAACTTCCTTTCCCTGCCTGTCTCCACATACACAGTGACCCCTACTGGCCAGTGCTGGTATTGCAGAGTAATCTCTTGTTTATACTGAGAAAAATACCAGCATTTGTATTGCCGGTATCACTGCAATATTGGCACCAGCCAGGCAGCCTCAAATACTGGCTGTGCCAATAAAATAAAAGCCAGGTGGAATCCCTAAGAGTAGTGTGTGAAAAAAAATTTTTTTTTTTTTTTTAAATCAATGGGCCTATTCCATGGGCCTGGGCCTGGAGCTGCAGCTCCATCAGCCCCTATGTTAATCCGGCCCTGATCTACAGCATCTGCTAATCACGTACCCACTCACATTATCAAGGCAATGGGGCATTGGAAATCCTCAGCCTACACCCTCTACATACCTAATCCGATTAAAGAATTAAGACAAGCTTTCTGTGACTTATCTAAATAAATAAAGTTGGTTAACCGTATTACGTCTTATGGTATTTTTCTTTTGCCCACTTTTATTACAGGCCTATTGCTTTGTCGGTTCCGGCACACTACAACCAACTGGTTCCAACTCATTGCTGTTATGGTTATTATATGCAATATTTCTGTATACAGCTATATTGCCCCGACTACAAATTTGAAGGCTTGGCCTGTAGTTGCGGGAGGGGCTTGAATTCCCTTTAAAAGGGCTGCCAATCCACTCCCACTTTACCAATGCTGGTCTGGCGAGTCACCCCTCCCACCACTCCCTCTATTCATAAACACCCTCTAAGGTAGGCCCACTTTTATTACAGGCCTACTGCTTTGTCGGTTCCGGCACACCACAACCGACTGGTTCCAACTCATTGATGTTATGGTTATTATATGCTAGATTTCTGTATACGGCTATATTGCCCCGACTACAAATATATATATATATATACACAAATATACATACATGCATATATATGCACGCACACACACATACATATATGTGTGTATGTATACATACAATACGTGTGTGTGTGTGTGTGTATACACACACACTTTTATTTCCTATATATGTATAATATATTATAAATTAAAGCATTTTGATGGACACAAGTCTCTTTTCAGCTATGTAACTATGTAATATATCAGACTATGTAATAATATATAGTGCAGCCAACCCCCCCTTGTTTCATATGTATATATATATATATATATATATATATATATAATAAATGAAATAAAGATGCACTCTGCGGTCTTTAGAAGAAATCACTGGTATTTAATATCCAACAAAGTTACATAAATCCGATCGACGTTTCGACCTCCAGGTCTTCCTCAAGATCAATTTATAAACATATATGACAGAAATATATAGGAAATGAAAGAAGGTTACTCACCAATCATGCAGTGTTCCCTCATTCCAGTGGTCCAAACCCGGAAGAGTGCATAATGCGTCACGTGACGTGTGACATGTGCAGTGTGGGCGTGCCCATCTCCCAGACATGGTTGCTAGGAGACCAATAAACTATGATGGAACAGTGAATAGCTACAGTCCGGTGGTTCGGAACTTTGAGAAATAATGTGTGTGGTGGCAAATAGGCAAATTGCGCTAAGTGAAACTGCCAAGTTATATTGATTAAAAGGTGCAACAGTGTGTAGAGAAAATGTGTGGACTCTAAGTCCAAGTGTACATAGTGTGATGTCACACAAGGTGACCTGAGTATTAAGTGCCGCATGCACCATTTAAAGATGACAGTAAATGTGTGTGAATGGTATAGATCATGCACATAGTAAAATCAATACCAACGAAGACAATATTGAAGGTACATCATAAAAAGTTTCAACAAGCATACCATGGAGCAGTGTCATTGAATTAACAATTAGAAAGATCACTTTCCAATACCTAAAGCATGTAATAGGCAAATGCTTAATAATCATACCTTAATTGGCTAATGGGCTAAGAGCAGATAGTCTGCTGAATATACTAGGATAAATATAGTACTGAAACCCCAAAACAAAACAGAAGAAAGAGAACAGAAGCCAGCAAACATCACCAATAAAGCAAGACACAAGTAATAATCCCTGAAATCCAGACTAAGGAAATCTATCTAGGCATGGCCAGAACATACTATAATTAACTCAGCATCAAAGCATATTAAGAGAGATACATAAACTTCCTATGTCAGGGAGAACAGTAAATAGAATCTAACTCCTAACACAACAAAGTATCTACACCCAGGTCTATTATAAGGATACTAGCATATACTAATGAGTGACCCAAAAAAGGACTAACTGAGGATCATAGAGGAAAGACTACCGATAATACAAAATAGTACATAGGTGCATCACTAAACCTCAGTTACTAGTGAGACTATGGCTCCACAGCAGTGTACAGGCAAAATAAAGTCAAAGTAAAGTTGTACAGCCAAGATAGAGTATCTACAGAAAAAATATATACAAATATACATATATACAACCTCATACATGGACAAAATTCCACTAAGATCCAAAGAAAAAGACTGCATTAACCCTAAACTGGGGTGTATGCTCCTAAATTTCCTAAGGATCTCATAATGGCATATCAGAGAAACACTGAAAACACAGTGTTTTCATTCAGTCCTCTTGGAGTCACAGTGTCAAGTTGATATATCCAGCGTGCTTCACGTTGGAGTAACATTCTCGATCTGTCACCACCTCTTGGTGGGGTCGGGATATGGTCAGTCGCTATAAAGCATAACATAGGTAGTCTGTGTGAAAAGGCCAGA